ATGATTGTCGCACCGTCATATTGTATTATTAATTTATTTATGTTATAATATATATTAATTTATTTGTTAAGACGTATCAATCATATTATACAAGTAACAGTGTGGTAGCTAGTAAAAATTAATATTTAAGATGACAATTTCATATATTGCACTCACACGTACCAAAATTTATCAGAAAGGACAAAAAAATTCTTTACATTTTTAGTCTTCTTCTAAGAAAGTACTGTTCAATACGGTAAAGAGCTTTGTTTTAGGAGTCTGCCTTTGAAATCAAGTGACATACTGTAAAACGTTGACAATTTGTAAACCCCGAATCGCATCGATGAAACATTGTAGATGCCACTTGCACGTGCATCAATGGTTGATATCCTGAGCACTGTAGTATTTCTCCTGTTTCCTATATGTTTACGTTGAAGTCGAGTGATTTTCCAACATCGATGGCAACAATACTACTGATATTCCTTAAAATCAAAACATTATAGAGATATTTATTTTTGAAACCAAACAACAAAATTATAAATGCATGCCAGTTGCATTTCAACATTTTTTCATCCGAAACAAGCTTTATAGTTTGTATCAAATACCATACGCAAAAAGTACAATAAAATATAGAAAAAGAATAAGTTCTGCGTTAAATATATATATATATATATATATATATATATATATATGTATATATATATATATATGCAAGAAAAAGAATAAGTTACACGATTGTCTCTTATACTTTATAGGGGTGGGCACAAAACCAAAACACGAATCAAATCGAACCGCATCGAATGGTTTGGTTTTGTGGTTTCAAAACGGTTTTGGTTTGGAACCGAACCGAATAGGGGAAAAACGGTTTGGTTTTGGTTATGGCCCTTTGAAACTGAACCGAAATCAAAATCGCATAACTTTATTAAATGTTAAATTCTAATTGGTTATTTCATTGAATCCATACATTTAGTATGGATTCAACCACATCATAACATGGCCACATGATCTTTTTCTTTTCTTTCTTCTAGTCGTAGTTTGTACTCTTTCTTTCTTTTACTCATTTGCTGCTCAACTTCATTCTTCATCTAACTCTCTGTCTCTCTCTCTCTCGGCCTCCACTCAAAAAGATGAAATCGTACAAGTTAAACCCACAATTATTCAAATGAAACATGCACACTAATCAATCTTAGCCACTAAATCAAATAGATATATCTCTATAGATATTTAAAGATATATTGCTTTAGATATTCAAAGCAAATTGTTAATGTCAGTTAGATATTTGAAACAAACAATACCTGCTGCTTTAGATATTATTGCACCGAAATGGCAGTCAACAAACAGTTGCTGAAACTTGAGTTTTCAATGCACCGAATGGCAGTCTGTCAGTTAAAGGTTTGAAACTTGAATGACACAAAGTAAGTTGAATGAGTGTAATAATGTATGTTGTATGCATACATGTCTGATTGTAATTGAAGCCCATGCTTGATTTGATTGATATTTGCATGAATTTGATGCATGCTGAACAATGCAATAATAGAAGACATGCAAAATGAAAAACAAACAGTAAACGTTGCTCATAGAAGAGAAATTGAAGTGTATATCAAAGGAAAATGAAATGAGATACAACTAGGTAACCATAATAGTTTTCTCAAACAATGAAACCAAACCAAAACCGTACCGAACCAAATGGTTTGGTTTCATTTCGGTTTTAGCCTCAAAACTGCATCGAACCAAACCGCAAAAACTTGCGGTTTTGGTTTTGGTTTCACCCAAAACTGCACCAAACCGAACCACGCCCACCCCTAATACTTTATGCGGACATAATCGTCCTTGAGATATTCATAACACATAACTTTGATCCTTGAGATTTAAAATCAATAGAAGTGGTCACTGAGATTGTCCACCATCTATTATTTTGGTCCTTCCATTAAAAAACTCCGTTAAGTGACCCCTAAGCTTTTTAATGGAAGGACCAAAATGATGTATGGTAGACAATCCTATGAACCAAAGTTATGTGTTATGCAAATCTCAGGGACCAAAATCATGTGTTATGCAAATCTCAGGGACCAAAGTTATGTGTTATACCCTGAACTTAACGGAGTTTTTTTAACGGAATGATCAAAATGGACAATCTTAGGGGCCACTTCTATTGATTTTAAATTTCAGAGATCATAGTTATGTGTTATGCAAATCTCAATGACCATTTTGATTAAAAAGCCTTCTTTATGCTATATGTTGGCTACTTTAGACTATAAAGAGAAATACAGAACTTCGAATCATTCAATGTCGTTGAACCTCCACCCATTGTGACCCTGACAACTTTGCCTTATGCATATACTTCACGGGAGGTCCAGATTTATTCGTACTTTTTATTTTTCCTCCCTTCCTCTTCATTTGATCAACGTTGTTATTTTTGGCATAAAACTCAAAAATTAAAGCTAGTTGCAATAAGTTCGATGCTTATTTAGGGCACTACTGGCCATAAAAAGATTGAACTTATTACAACTAGCTTGCATTTGAGAGCTTTGGCTTCTTCGCGATGCTCGGCGTCGGTACTGCAAGTGCATTCTGCAGAACAAAAGAGGTTAAAGGGAAAAGAAGAGGAGGAAGAAGAATGTAAGAAAAAGGAGTGGTATAGACTGGTCTTTCTGTGGTTGTGAGCATGTGGCTTATCAAAGCCTAATCTATATATACTGTCTATTTATATATGTGAGTTCGAGAATTTGGCCAAAGAAAGGCTGGAGTAAAAATGACGACATGTAATTGAATTCAGTTTGTGTGGAAGTGAACAAATGACAAGTGTGCTGTTTGAGCCAATATATTGATGATATTATGATAGAGATGTTATGCTACAGACAAAGTCGGTATTGTAAATTTACGTGATATTATTAATTTACGTATTATAATATTGGCCAGCGATATACTTGATAATTTTAAAACTTAAGGTATAATAATGCGCTACTAGAACATGAGCGTTAAATACACATGATAGTATGACCATTATACTGAAAAATTTCATTGTAGCTATTTCTTATTTGAACAAAAGTTTGTGCCATGCAACAAAATTTTAGTACACGTCTAGACTAAATTGTGTGTGAACTAGGAAAGCTAAGAATGAAATGCCTGCCTTCACTTTCTCATAATGCATCGTAACAGTAAATCGATAAGAGCACATACACTTGGTGATATTGTCGGGCTCTCTGGAGTACTTCACCTGGAAAAATAAATAAATACAAAACAAAATCACTGTCATTGCATTTGAAGGCGCAGAGATGCAGAAACAAACTGAATTTCGAAAAGGAGGAAGAGAGAAAGAGAAGATTGAGGGGAAGGAAGTGAGAAGGGTTACCATGGCGGCCGATGGAGCTTCTGCGTCAGTGAAGGGTTTACGCTTTTGCTTATACGCAGAAGAGGTGAGTTCTTGTGGGACTTGTGCTTTTATAAACAAATGGAATGAAACCCTAGTAAAACCGGGCCTCTAATATGCTATTGGACCTTCAATTGGGCTTTTTGGGCTTCTGTTAATGTTGGTTATGTGGGCTCTATTACAAGCCCAATACTAATTCAAAAATTACTTATTCTAAAGTAGGGGGGAGGGCAGGCGCTATTCACCTTTGTTTTGATTTTGCTTTATTTACAACAATGCCAGCCGAATGTGGTTGGGTTGGGGGGTAATTCTCAAAAATTCAGAGGGTGATTTTGTCTTTTGAGGTCAATTCCTCCCCCCTCGATTTTGCTTTATTTACAACAAAACCGTGGGATATGGGGCTGGGTTGGAACGTAGTTATTAAAAGTTAGGAGGGTAATTTTGTCCTGTGCATTTGAGACGGATTGGGGTGGGTTTAGGTTTTGCTGTCATTCAGTGCGGGTTTCGGGTATGGCAGGCCATGCTTCCTCTGAGAGATGGATAGAGACAGACGGAGCGAGAGAGAGAGAGGGAGAGGAAGGAGTGGGGATCTCAGCACCCTTGCTGCAGATCCTCGATTTCATGAGAGTGGGAGAGGGGGGACAGTCAGAGAAAAGCATGGGGGGCCTTCGGGACTCGCAGACCCCGCAAGAACGACACAGACGGTCTCGCCTCCGTCGTCTTACTCCTCATTTCTCTGTCTCTGGAATCGATTGATCTATTCGAAGAGGATCGACAGTTCTGAAATGGTATTTAGATTGGTAAGGTTTGTGCGTGTGCGGTTGATGATCGTGGAAGCCAGCGACACCCAGACTGCAACATCGAATCCTCTCCGATCCTTATTCCCAAAAGCTCTCCCTCTGATTTGTCATCAGGTAAGAAGGAACCTACTGGCCTCAGATTGGATGATAAACGTGAAGAAATCACACTGACCAAACCGTGAGCATCAAAGATTGATTCTTTTTTTTCCTTCAATATAAATTTTTTCGATTTCTTCGAATTTTTATTTTATTTTTTCTAAATTTTCTGTTCATGGTTTTTTTTTTCCTTTTCTTTTCAGGAATTCAACAATCCCAGAGGTTGAAAACCACTGAGAAGAAAAGATCTCTCTCTCGATCTACTTTAAAGTGATTGAAAATTGGGTTTGGTGATTTTTCTGCTGTTTTTGTATGTTTTAGCTATTAATTGCCTTATAGAGGTTTTTTTGTTGCTGTGATATTTGTTGAACTGAAAAGGGTTTGAAGGCTGCTGCGTTACCGTTCGATTTGCAGATTCCATGTTGCATGTGCTGCTTTATTGCAATTTTTTAAATTCATGTATGAGGTACAAGGAAGATAAACGACTAAAAAACAAGTAGAGGTTGGTTAATAAGCTAAAAGAACAAGTGGTATTTTTTGGTTAATTGGTTGGGTTTTCAGATGGCTCTTCTGGTTTGTTGTTAATTGTATGTTTTCTGATTGAATTTGGCATCTATTTATCCAACGGATTAGTGAGCTAAAACTACAAGTGGGGTTGTTTTGATTTTTGGGTTGTTTAATTTTCTGTTATTTTATTGAATTGGATTTTATTCAATGGGGTTAGTGAACTAAAAGTGTAATTGGGTTTGTTTTGGTTTTGAATATCAGAGTCTTACATATTTGATTATTTATTGTATTTCTCCATCTAATGCATATGTGAAAATCATGAAGTTAGAAGATCTTGGCTTAGTTCACTTTATAACTTACAGTGCATGCATGCTACCAAGGTTAGAGGTAGAACACTGGAATGTCAACTTAAATTTATATATTGCTTAATTTGATTCCTCTGTTCTGTTAAAGCTCACAGAGATGGTGGGGAGGATGAATTACTTTATTTTTATTGTATTATAAATAGTCTGTTTTTTTTATTTCCCCCGAAAGTCTGCTTTGCTATTTAATCCTTCTTTGCAGGCAAGGATTTTAGGTTTGAATGCAAAATGTTTCCTCAAAATAGGGGGTTGTTGTTTGATGTCAATCAAGGTTTGTGTTGCCCTTATTATTGTTCTCAAAACTGCTAATATACTGTTTCAACTTATCTTTTTAGGCTATTCTGCCAGTTTTCACCTTTGAACATGTAGCCCATTACCTATAATTTCCCAATGACTAAACTTTAGACGAAAACTTTTATAAATGGCCACTTTAACTAAATGTCGTACAACTTTTTGTTAAAAATTGTCACATTTTAGTAAGCTAATAAATTATTGGTATGCACGTATGGACCGAAAATTAGATGGAATGTGGTTGAACATGACGATTGGGGGAAATTAGGCATTTTGGTGTTTTCATTTTGTTTGTCGCATTTTGTTGTTCTTGCCTAATTGTGATTTAATTAGTTTCGATTTTTAACTTTGGATAGGTGCTGTTTCACATTTTGTGCTCATTTTGGAAGTGATTCATAGGTGCTCTGTAAAGGTTAGTCTTATACTCATTTTTTAAAAACTGTGCATAGTAGTAGGTAAATATTGTGGCGTGTTAAAATCCTTGCTTTTGTGGAGTCTCTTTTTTTTTTCTTCAGATTTTGGGGCTTTTATTTGCAGGCTTCGAAGCTCTTTGTACTCAAGTAACATTGCCCTTGAGGTGAAATCTATGAATTTGACATATTGTTACTTAAATTTAATGAAAAGAATATTATGCTTGGTCCCAATTACGATGAGGAAATTAACATGACTCTGGTTTTCCTTTATTAGTTTTTTGTTGAAAGGTTGAGTTCGATGAAGAAATATGTATTTGGATTAGGCTCTGTTCAGGTGATTTTTTTTTTCATATTCGTTTCGGCATGGCCATTAGTAAGATTTTCTATATTATTAGTAGGGAGAAACAAGTTTCTATCAGTTTGTTAATATGGATTTTCTTTGTCATTTCAGTGTAGTCATAAGCTAGGTTTAAGCCTTGAATTGGTTTCTTTGTAGTTGGATGTGCATTTAACTGCTTAAAATCTGTTTGTTTCGTGTTGAGGACTAACTAGGTTCGCTAGATGCAAGAGTTTTATTTTTTTTACATTAGAAATTTAACCTCTGTTGCATACCTGAGGTGAGAATTTTGCTTTTATAATTTTTATTTACTACATCTAATGATCTTATTTACGAATTGCAGGAAAAAGTTGTCATGTCAAGCAAACAATTGATCCATTTAAAAAGTTTGGTGAGTATCTTATGTCTTGGTTTGTGTTCAAGCTTGGGTTTCTTAGTTAAGCATCAGTCAGTATATTGTCATTCATTTATTTAAGATGTGGTGGTACTGTTGATGACATGGCTATAAATCACAGGATTTTTTATTTCTGGTAGAAAAAGAAATTTAAATTGAACCAATTTTTGGTTTTTTGTGTTTGTGGATGTGGTGTATTGTTATAGCTTAAGAAGAAATTAAGAAAGTTTGGTCATTTGCTTCTCGACTTAAATTGGATTGGTTTTTTTAAATTTTTATTACATGGTGTTTTTAGTGATGTTGTTGCAGCTTTGAAAAAACAAATTTGAGGTTTTTATTTAGTGAGACAAATGATTTTTTATTTGGTTAAAGAGGGGGTGGGGAAGAATAGAGTAGGAGGTAAATTGTGCTAATAGCTGCTCAAATAGGTTGTTAGTATATGGATGGTTAGATTAGGAATTTTTTTATTGCATTTTGTGATTGGGATCTAATTGCAGGTTTCATGTTGTATGTCTCAATCTTTAGATATAAATTATTTGATTAATACATGGTGTTGGCTGATTTAAGAGCGCACACACTTATAATCTCTTTTAATACCATGTTAGAATACGAACGCTACCTCAAAACCAGCAACAATAATAAGTTGACAGTTGAATGTTTCAACTTATCTGCAAGGCTTTTTACTTTACAGATTTGTAGTTCATGCTCTTAACAGTTAGCAATGTATTTAGCAGTTTTTAAACATGAAGTAAATCTCTGTGTTTGAAATTTCACACTTGACCTGATTGGAGTCTAAGGTTTACAACTATATTATTTAATTGTTGAATTTTTCTTCATGGAATACCCTGCATTTTTATGCCTTTTCTTTTTACTGATTTTTTAACCCTTTTTTTTTTCTTCATGGAATACTCACATTTTTCTGCCTCTTCTTTTTTTGCTTCGGTGGCTGAAGCACCACCTTAATGGCCACATCAAAAGCAGCTTTCACATTCAATTTTATTCTCCCAAAAGCTACAAATGTAGCTCCAATGATGGGTCGAGTAAGGTCCCTCAGTCCATGATTCACTCTCGATCATCTGTTCCCTTTTGCATGTCGGATGAGTGGCTGGATTTCGAAAGCTAAGTTCAATTTTTAATTCGATTCTTTACTGTTAGCATAGATTGTCATCATTTCTGCCTTTTTGCTGTGAATTATTTCCAGATTTTGTTGCACTGTTAGGTCAGGTTTTGAGGGTTCCTTTATTTGGTTTTGGGGGTTCCTTTATTTGTTTCGTTTTCTCTCATTTTGCGGATGCATCTCTGTGTTCTATGTATTGTTCCTAAGTAAGGTCAGTTTCCTTTATTTTTTGGGTTTTCAGTTTGTTAATCTGTGACTCTGTGTTTAGATTTTTCGTTCGTGTATGATTAAATGGGTATTGGGTTTTGGTTGTTGAAATTATGATTTTTTTCCTGCTAAAGCTTCTTGCTCATTTTTCTGGAAATGGGAAAAATTGAGGAAATTGATAAAATGGAAATGGGAAAGATTGGTTTTTTAATTTTTGGTTTTGTGTTTCTGCAGGTGAAGTTTCTTTGCTGGGTGGGAAAACAGAGGAGGGGGACAAGGACGATGGGGACACGGCGACGAGGGAGGCGAAAGAGGAGATTGGTTTGGATCCTAAGCTAGGTATAAATGTTTGATCTTTCATCACTATTTGTTTCAAATTTAAGTTTGATTGAGCTCAAATATGTGCATTTGAGTGGACACAGAACTTGGTTAGTTGAATTATATGTTTGCGAAATTGCAGATTGATGCGTTAGTTTCTTTGTATTGGAAGGTGAAGGTTGGGAACTTGAGTTGAGTTGAGGCTAGAAAGAAAGGCTCGGGACTTATCATTTACTTTTCGTTTGCATTCGAAATGAGTTTGAATGTAAGGTTTAGGGTATTAATTTAAAAACCAAAAACTGAGTAATCATACTGGTAGATTGGAGGTGTTCTTTAAGAAGTATCTAGCTGACATGGTCATTTAGTTTGTAATGTACTCATACGTTCTTCGTGTTGTTCTGTTAAGTACACGTCCTTAATATCTACTAACTTTAATCATGTGCATCTGAGTTTTCAAGATACATCCTCGGAATCCATAATTTGTTGACGGGCTGGAGGGAGAGGATTGTTGGAATTTTTGACTCGGGTGCGGGTGGGTGTGGCTGTGGGTGATGCATCGGTCAGAGGGTTGTTGGGGGGAGGAGAAGAGGGGGACAGAGGGACTGACAGATTGGAGAGAAATGGTAGCTACGGGTTTCGACTGAGTGGGAGAGAGATTTAGCTAGGTCCTCTGCCAGGACCTATGGGATTATGTCCACTTTTAGACAAAGGCCGGCAATGGTTGGCTTGGTGTTTGTGTGCACCGAGCGCAATGTCAAGAAAGAAAGGTGAGAGATATAGTGAGTGGTGGAGAGGGGATGGGACATGACGGTGTGGCGGGTTGGTGGGTTGCCAAAGTAGCGGGTTAGGTGCTAATAGCTGCTCGAATGGGCTATTAGTATAGGGATGGTTAGATTAGGATTTTTTTTGGCATTTTGTGATTGGGATCTAATTGCAGGTTTCGTGTTTCATGTCTCCATCTTTAGATGTTAATTATTTGATTAATACATGGTGTTGGGTGGTTTAAGAGCACACACACTTATAATCTCTTTTAATACCTTATTAGAATGTGAACATCCAGCTAAAAAACAGTAACAATCATAAGTTGAATGTTGATTGTTTAAACTTATCTGCAAGTCTTTTTACTTTATAGATTTGTAGTTCATGCTCTTAACAGTTGGCAATGTATTTGGCAGTTTTTAAACATGGAGTAAATCTCCGTGTTTGAAATCTCACACTTGACCTGATTGGAGCCTAAGGTTTACAACTATGTTATGTTTTCTTCGTTTGTGTTGTCTCATGCCTAAAAAAACCCAATATATGCAGCAGGGCTGTTAAAATTGAGCGGATTTTTTTTTTCAGATTCTAATTTTAGTTGGTTTCTGTAAAGATTGTAATGGTTTCCTGTTTTTAAACTCTGAAAATTTTACTTGGTTTGTTTTTAATTTTTAGTTAGGTTCTCTAAAAAAATGTCTTTCAGTGTCCATCCTCTGTGTATGTTGTTAGATTGGGCTGTTTCTGGATTCTTAAATTGTGGTCATTAATGTCGTTTTTAGCTTTGAATTAAGTTGGAACTACTAATTTAACTAGAGTGTTATATGCTTACGTTACAAACCAGTTTATCATTTTCATAGAAAATAACTTCAATGAGGAGCGAACTTGAAGCTGAGCTGACAGGTTTGCAGCTTCAGCATGAAGATGAGTGTGAGAAGATGCAGGATGAATTGGATCTTCAAAAGTCTAAAGTACATATCTACCATTAAGTAATTGATGCTTTTGTACCTTTTACTTACAGAATGATAATTATCGCAGGAGGAGAAGCAGAGGGCATTACTGCAAATACAGTGGAGAGTTTTGGTAATAAGCCACAAGAGGACGAAGAAGTGAATTCAAAGAAGGTTGGCTTTATAATAGATAACTCTCTCTCTCTCTCTCTCTCACATCCACAAACACAGATTCAATTACTATAAGTTGTTTAGTTGCAGTTGATTGGATGTATTAGTTAATCTTAATTTTAGTCCACATAAATTACCATGGCTGTGGAAATTGAACTAAAAAGTACATTTCTTTTTTAAAATTGAATTTTTTTTAATGCTACCAGGAAATAGGTGGTTGCAAATTATTTACTCCACTAATGAAGAATTTGTTAAATGCTATCTGTCTCCATCTAAAATGTGCCCTTTTTTTTCTTAGATAAACAATCTTTTCACTATCTTGCATGCTTCGGCAACAAAGATTAATAAAACTGCACATCTATTATAGACAGAGAGATGTAGGGAGAAGTTGGAATTGGAGAGAGAGAGGGTGAGGGAGGGATGGGGTTGTTTTCCGAAGATTTGTTTCGAATTGTTTCTCCAATTCTTTCTATTTGTTTGGGATTGTTTCTTTTTTACTGAATTATTTTGGTCCATGCCACTAAAATCTGATTTATGCTATTAATTGCTGCTTAAATGTGACTTTTGGTATTAATTTTTTACCTTTCATGTTTATGCTGCGTTTGGATTCCATTCGAATCAAATAATGTCGTTAATCTTGATATGAATTCTCTCTGCAACAATAATTAGGGACTTTAGTTTAAATTATCACTAATTTGTTCTTGCTTTGGCCTTGAATCTTGGTTAATTTGGACTGCAGGTGGTTCTGATATGGAGGAGAAGCTGCAAGAGCTTATGATCTTGCTGCACTTAAGTACGACTGTTCTTTAACTCATATAAACTTTTCGGTAGGGTTCAAACTGTTAAGAGTTTTATGATTTTGCAAAAACTTTTAGTAGCAGTAACTTGGTCTATTTGCAGTTGCATTATTACACTATACAAAGCTAGCAGCAGCTTAACCCCATTCACAAATACATATTTACTTCGTCCTTGGCGTCTACGCTTATTGCTGTCACTTCTCCTTTGTACTCTTCCTTCTTTTTGACGAAATTACAGTCTGCCCTCAGTCTCCGGCTTTCTTTTGCAGTTACACCCCTGTGCTCTCACAGAGGGAAGCTCATGGCTAACACTGTCGCTTAGGGTATATAATCTTTGGCATGCCATTGTCTTTATTTAATCATTCTTTGAATGAAATTCCGATAGACATCTACGTCGTAGTTTGACTTTGTTTTTCATTGCGCAATCTGAGTTGCCCCAATATCTTTTGTATGCAATTTGGTGTAGACAAGTGGTTTTTGATGATTTGGTATCTACAATTAATTACCCGTACAAGCATGAGTTTCGATTGCGGTCTCGATTTTTCCTTCAATCTGCAATTGATTTTTCTATTTTTTGTTTGTTGCAACTGTCGATTATATGCGCATTATTTTGCTTTTTTGAAATTTTGATTGCAGTTTGCTTTCTGCTGGACGTTAAACGTTTTTGTTCAATGATTATATATAGCTTCAGATGAGGAGACTAAAGAATGAGTTTTGGATCCTAATTATGGCTGCTCTTTCCTTGGAATGGGAAGTGCTTTCGATTCTTCTTCGTTTTCTTTTCTTTTCTTATTCATGTTGTTAAGGTTGGTGCATTCAAGTCCCGCGGCATCGCGCGGGCTTATTACTAGTAAATATTTAAAAAATAAACCGAAATTAGGAATTTAAAACTTAAAAGTTGGGAAGTGATTCAGAGCATAATTTTGTGCTTGTAGTCCCAAAAACAATGGTCGACAAAGCAGTAAAACTCCATCGTCTTGGTCGCATCAACACTACTGCAGGCGTGTGGTCTAACCTATCATCTAAATCGTCACACTTTGTTGAATAAGAAAATTAAAGAAAATTAAAGATTATTAAAGAATTTTAAAATGATCGAAATTGAGATGATGAGATTTTTTTTTCTAGAATTTGTGATTTTTTTTTCAAGTGTGAATTTTCTTGTAACATAAAAGAACAATGAAATTTGAATACGGAATTTGTTATTTTTAAACTCACTCATGAAAATTTAGAAATTACACCTATTTACACGAAATTTAAACTTAGAAATTGGAGATCCCAAATTCCAAGATTTTTTTTTCACACAAAAATTCTTAATTTATATGTGTATAAATCCAAACAAAGAAATTGATACATATCAATTTATAATTCTGACTTTTATCAAAATTCTAAATTTATTTTCTTCATCCAATTAATGTTTGTCAAAGTTCGGTTATTTGCATTAAGGGTGGATAACTCAGAGAGTGTTTGGATATGCTTTTAAAATAACTGAAAGGGTAAAATGTTTTTAGAAACAATTCTTAGTAAAAATGCTAGTAAATCCTAGAAAAACACTTAGAAGTGCTTCTTAGAAGAAGCACATAACTGGTGCTTCTTGTAGAAAGCATTTAAGTGCTTTTGAAACCCAAAAATATTTTCTCTAAAAGCGCTTTCAGTTATTTTAAAAGCACATCCAAACGAGGCCTCACTCGAGGTATCGAGGTATGGGGACCTCAATGGCAAGAGCTACAGTCCCAGGTTATGGACATTCTTTATCCGTCGATGGCGTACGCAGAGGAGGTTCAAGCCGATTGTTCCTTCGTCCGTGACATGCAGCCCGCGTCTATATATTTGGTGGAGTCGGTGAGTGAACTTGTCTTGGTGGTGAAATATGAGAAGTGGGAGAACGTGGAACGCTTGTGCGGTGCCCATGAAGAGCCTGCGGAGCAACCCTCGTTCCCCACTCCTACCGTTTGTTCCTAACCCATGGCGATAGCTATTGCAAGTGGAACTACTATATTTTTCACGTCTCATCCCCAAAAAAGCAAGTAAACATGCTCTTATTTCGTGTTTCCACGTTACATCAGGTTCCGGTGGTAAAGTAAAACTAAACTAGAAGATATAACTTGACAAGAAGCTTGAATAAGCAACGACATCCACCCACTCCGGAAAAAGGCCTCTCAGCTTCTTTGTTTCGTCAACCATTTTTTGGTCTATGACAGCTACGTCAACCCTCAAACCGTCAGATCCCCTAGCCTGCAATTATCGCAAGCAAACTTGAGCGGCTGACGGAGAGATTTGCAATAGGAGCAGCTAAAGAAAATAAACTAAAGAGGCTGGTGGAGAGATTTGCGATATGAGCAGTAAAGATAATAAACCAACACCAGTTAAAAGAGCTTTACCTCTAACCAGAAGTTCCAATTCTCAGAGCTAGCTCCACTAAGCCGGCATATGTATGACGGTGGACCTCCGTCATTCGTTACAGTAGCTGTTCCAATTTTTCTCAAGCATAAGCATACACCATGTGAAAAGGTAAATGTGTATAAGAAACTCAAACCGCAAAAAACTTTCCGTCACCTGGAAGTGTATTGTCTGCAAATGACCAACTGGATAAAGGGCCTGTTATGTTGACGACGGTAACCCAAACCTCCTCTAAGGAACTGACAGAAAGGTATCACACAGTAAACTTTAAAACTTGCAACTGAAATTAATAGAATAATCCAGAAAAACGGTGTTGAAAGCCTATTCAGTATCCAATAGTAGGTCATGTATGTGGTGGTTTGTTCTACTCACCCTAAAGACAGTTGCAAGTATACTCTCCGAGATCCCTCAATGAAAACCGTATGCGGCTCATAAGTAGACAGATGGGGGAACTGCCTGTATTGCTTCAAAATACCGTCACTTTTTGCAGGGAACTTCAAGCTTCTTGAGAACAAAAAAGACACAGGAAAAATTCCCTGCACATACATACAAAAAGGCCATCAGATATTTTTTCATCGCAATTAATGTTGAACAATTAACTGAACATAGCAATTGACCTGCACGAACAAGTTATCCATGGATTACAGTAAGACCAAAGTCTAGGTCTGCTCTTGAATCTCAAGTACATCTTAGGCTCATCAGTAAAAAAAATCATTCAGGTGATTAATCAGACACAGAGAACAATGACTAAGTGCAGGACACGAGGACCATGGATAATACTCTAGGATGAGTGATGCAATCTCAAGGATAAGAACTAGAGTTCAAAAAAAAAAAAAGTCAAAGAAGACTGTCTTTAATAGTTAATTGACGTAAACTCATTACAATCTTACATACCATAAAATTCTCCCGCTGAGATAACTTTGCAGTTTCAAAAGATAACTCTGAACTAATGTGCAATTCCTTTGCCACCTCCGGTGCATGTTTGAATACAAAAAGTAAAGAATTGGAATCTACAACAGAAAGATCATAGCTGGAGTCCATAACCTGATTTGCATCTGCCACGCAAGAAAAACTGTTTGCATGGGATCTAGGATAAATCTGATCAAAAGGAAAGCATTTTGGAAGTATACTTAATCATTTTGCTAGCTTGAATACCTGCAGTAAGAAATGTATGCTGGAAAAGAATCCGCTTAGGAGCGTCCACACTGTATGGAAAGAACTGAGACGACAAAGCCAAGCCTAGCACACTAATGTGCAGCAAAACCTGCAAAATGGATGACCTAGCTAACCAGCGACCACAGATTGGTATCAGAGGGCCTACACACAAACCAGTCACAGCTCCCACTGTTGTTGCCATCACAACATCAGGAACAAAATAACCTGCAAGAATGCAACTGATGATTAAAAAAAGATTTTGTGAATTCTTGAATAACAGGAATCCGAAGTACTTGCAGCATAATTCAAAGTTTCAGAATGAACCATATTTAACAACAAAATCTTAATAATCTTGTTCTATTGCAAGCACAACGTATCCATAGAGAACTGCATCTCCCAACTATGATAAAAATGGGAAACCACCATATATTGATTTAATAAAAAAACTGACTTGAAGAACATAATAACTCATATGTGAAGGTTCATAACAGCAGTAACAAAGGAAAGTTCAAAAATACTAACCATATGGAGGTGGCAAAGCACCCATCATACCCAGCTTTTCAACCACAAATTGTATAAGAAATCCACCAAAATATACAGAGTATGCAAGGCATGGAAGTATAGGTAACACGTAAAATAATGTTGACCTGAGAGAAATGATATATATTCTGTTAAAGAACTGTAATTTCTTTTCGAAATATGAGAACAGGACTAAAATGTTATTGAGAACTGTAAGACAGGAAACACACAAAAACACCTGTTACATTATAACTTTAATAACTCTGGAAACGGGTACCTGAGTGACTGGTGACCAAATAATTTGACTGATAAGCAGTATGAAATCCATCCAGGAAGCATAGAGGTAGACATTGAAAAAGTCAAGAAGCCTCCGCTGAGCCCAGCTAAAAGGTAAGCCTGCTTTCACTAAAATAGTTTTAGCTGTCTCAGGTTTAACTAAACAAATATGAGTTACGCATCTTAAGTTCATGATTCATCCTTTTAAGTGATCAATAAAACTTTTAAGTGAAACTGTGAAAAAAGTAACCATGCCACTTACCAAAGTTGATACAGCGTATAATCCAAATGCTCCCCAAAACCTCGCTTCATCAGATAAAGCCTGCAAGATTCACACGTATGATGATTGATTTGCTAACTTAACATGCTGGGATTACTACACAGACATTAGACAATAGGTCTACAGACTGAAAAAGAGACATGATGCCACCAAATTAATTTCTAAGGCAGAAATATAAGCCCACACAAAACTTTGTAGGTCATAGTTTCAAAACATTTTCTTATTATATGCAAGCTGATTGACAAACCAGATAATGTAATCAATGAGATTTTAAAGAAATCTATAACTTTTCAACCAATAAATGAAAAAAGAAAACGCATGTCTCCATAATTGTCTTCTATTGGGGGAAAAAAGATAAACTTGGTCTTGTCTGGTGCACAAGAGTACCTCCTTTAAAGACTTGAGAGCTGATGCATCTTGAGAGAGGGGAAAGCTACTCCAAATAATTCTAGGAATCAACATACCAACAAGTGAGCACGGGATGAACATCAAGTAAGCCAAATATGGATGAGCAAACCTGCATTTGAACACAAAAGGTAAGTGAGAGTTTCAAGGAACAAAGCTCCATCTTCAAAATACACATATCAGGAGCTTAGATAGATTTCTTTTCTCTTCTTTTTGGTAGGAGCTAGAACTAGTGGACTAGAAATTATACATTTAACTTGATTTTTTAATACAATATGATCCAGAACTTCAACCAAGCGAGACACACCATTTCAATGGAAAGAAATTTATCTGTTATCACTATAAACCATAGAAACTAAAACGGGCAGCCCATTCATCAATGATATAAAGCTTAACTGCTGAAATAAAAGTGTCTGATCAATGAGTGTAATTAAATACTACTGAAAAGTTTCAATATTGATTAAAAGCTAGACTCATAATCTTGTAAAAGCACAATGCTAAAAGGACTATAAATTCTAAAGGAAGAACTCAACAAACATGAACCAACCAATTCATAGCACAACTAGTGAACAGCAATCTCAGGATGGCAAAGATAATTGGAAATACAATTGCCAGAAAAATCCCAGTAGCATGGAAAATCATTCCTGCAAAATTAACAAATGGGACAACAATGTTGAAAATTCTTGATAAAATGTCAAATATTTCAATACGAAGACAAACGCAAGTTAAATAATGAATTCTGCCCACTAAGTAGAGAACCAAATTTGTCGGGTGCAAAAGTAGGACTTTTAGCAATAAGGAACGTATTTACATTGAAAGGTAGAGGATT